ATCCACGGCTGTTCACACAGTCATTGTGCACCAATCGCCGCGTTGCGAGGGTGCCGAGCACACATAGCGCGCCGAAAAGGCGCTAAGGGAGTTGCGTTATGGTTCCAGGTTGGATGCAAATTCTTCTGGTGGTTTTGTTGATTGTCCTACTTTTTGGGCGCGGCAAAATCTCCGAGTTCATGGGTGACCTTGCCAAGGGTATCAACAGCTTCAAAACTGGCCTTGCTGGCGATGAAAAAGATGAAAACGGTCGGACGATCGAGCACACAGCCGATGAGACTGTGAGCACAGCCAGCACGACCGCCAGCACAACGCCGGCAGACGAAAGCAAACAAAGCTAAGCTGCTTTGATCGGTGCCGGACGCCAGATCGGGTGTGCAGCTGATGGCTGCACAGACGGTTAGGCATCTGTGTTTGGAGGCAACATGTTCGACATAGGAGGCGTTGAGCTGCTTGTGATCGCCGCCGTGGCGATCCTTGTGGTTGGTCCGCGCGAGCTGCCAGCGATGCTGCGCGGCATCGGCAAAGTTGTGCGCCAGGCACGCGAAATGACCAGCAGTGTCCAGCGGCAGTTCAATGATGCCCTTAAAGAAGCCGAACTCGATGATGTCAAAAAGACCATCGACGATGTTCGCTCGTTGAACCCAGCCACAAAAATTCGCCAAACCATTGCCAAAGAGATGAAGCCGCTGACCGATGTTGGTGACAGTCTGAAGACGTCTGGTCAGGCCAACAGCATTGGTAAACCTGAANACGCCGCCGCCTCTGCCGGTGTGGCTGCACCTGTTGCTGATATGCCCGCTCCAGCTGCCGCTGCGCCGCTGCCTGCCAAAACAGCGGCCCAGAAGCCTGCCAAGGTGGCTGCGAAAAGGTCTCCAAAGGCAGCAACAACGGGCACGACCAAGGCGGCTAACAAGGCTGGCGCTAAAGGGGCCGCCAAGCAGCCCGCCAAAAAGACCGGAACTGACAATGGCGGATAAGCCGGACCCTGGTGAAGAAGCGCCGCGCGCGAAACCCGAAACGCCCACCGATGCGAATGAAGCCGACACCCCATCGGACGATGAGCCCGTGTCTTTAGCGCCTGCGCCGAAACCTGACGCGCCGCAAGAAAAGGCCAGCAGCGTCGACGATAAGGCAGAGCAGCCCAAGGCCATGGAATTGCCCGCCGAGGATGATCCTTTAGAGGGTGAAGCAGAGCCTGAAGATGAGGTGGAGCAATCCCGTGCGCCGCTGATCACCCACCTTATCGAGCTGCGCCAGCGACTGTTCTACGCTGTCATCGCCTTCGGCATTGCTTTCATCGGCTGCTACTTCGTTGCGGACCAGATTTTCAACATTCTGCTTGGCCCGTTTGAACAGGCAAAAGGCGAAACATCCGATATCTTCACCGCGCCGCAGGAATTCTTTTTCACCCAATTGCGCATTGCGCTGTTTGGTGCGCTCTTCATCGCGTTCCCGGTGATCGCCAGCCAGATTTATATGTTCATGGCGCCTGGCCTCTACAAAAATGAGAAGGCTGCCTTCCGCCCTTATTTGGTTGCAACGCCCATACTTTTCGCGATGGGCGCGGCGCTGGTTTATTTCGTGGTTATGCCACTGGCGCTCAATTTCTTCCTGTCCTTTGAACAGCAGGGCGGAGATGGAGAAGCCAGCATTCAGCTGATGGCACGCACCAGCGAATATCTCAGCCTTATCATGACGCTGATTTTTGCCTTTGGTTTGGTGTTCCAACTGCCCATCGTGCTGACCTTGCTGGGACGCATGGGTGTTGTGTCGTCTGCAGGTCTGGCCGCCAAGCGCAAATATGCCATTGTTGCCACGTTCTTGGCCGCAGCGTTCCTTACTCCGCCTGATCCGATCAGTCAGATCGGCCTTGCGGTGCCCACGCTGCTTCTTTACGAGGCTTCCATCTGGATGGTTCGACTCGTGGAAAGGCGGCAAGCCGCTGAGCGGGACGAAGACGACACCGACACAAAGGCAGAAGCTTCGGCATAAACCGCGTTTGGTTTGGGCCTCTCGCTTTGCCCAACACCAAGTACCGCTATGCTCGATATTCGCCTGATCCGTGACAACCCCGCCGCTTTGGACGATGCGCTGAAAAAGCGTGGCGCTGAGCCAGCTTCTTCCGATATCTTGAAGCTGGACGATGCGCGCCGCGAGCATCTGACAAAACTTCAGGACGCGCAAAGCGCACGCAACACGGCCTCCAAAGCCATCGGCAAGGCAAAGGCGAGCGGCGACGAGGCTGAAGCGGCGCGCCTGATTGAGGAAGTCGCCAAGCACAAAGCCTTCATTCAGGACGGCGAAGAGGAAGAGCGCCGTCTGACGGATGCTCTGGAAACCGCACTGGCCAGTCTGCCTAACATTCCACTGGATGACGTCCCGGTTGGGTCTGACGAAGATGCCAATGTTGAGCTGCGCAAGGCTGGCACCAAAACGATCCCCGATTTTGAGGCCAAAGAGCATTTCGAACTTGGTGAGGCGATGGGCCTTATGGATTTCGAAACGGCTGCCAAGCTTTCCGGCTCGCGCTTTTGCGTGATGAAAGGCGCATTGGCCAAGCTGGAACGCGCACTTGGCCAGTTCATGCTGAACACGCAGACCGGCAAGAACGGATATCTGGAAATCGCGCCGCCCTTGCTGGTGCGCGATGAAGCGATGTTTGGCACCGGGCAATTACCAAAGTTTGCCGATGATCTTTTCCGCACTGCCAAAGACGAAGACGACGGCGAAAACAGCTCCACGCTGTGGATGGTGCCGACAGCCGAGGTGCCGCTCACCAATCTTGTCCGCGAGAGCATCGTCGATGCCGAAACACTGCCACATCGGCTAACGGCGTTAACCCCCTGCTTCCGAGCAGAGGCAGGGTCTGCAGGTCGCGATACCAAAGGCTATCTGCGCCAGCATCAGTTCAATAAGGTTGAGATGGTGTCGATCACCCATCCTGATGAAAGCGATGCTGAGCTGGAGCGCATGACCGCCTGTGCCGAAGGCGTGCTGACCGATCTGGGCCTACACATCCGCACCATGGTGCTTTGCAGTGGCGACATGGGCTTTGGCGCACGCAAGACCTACGACATTGAGGTGTGGTTGCCCGGGCAGGGCAAATACCGTGAGATTTCCAGCTGTTCCACCTGTGGCGATTTCCAAGCCCGGCGCATGAATGCGCGTTATCGCGATGACAATGGCAAACCGCAGTTCGTCCACACGCTCAACGGCTCAGGCGTTGCGCTCGGTCGCGCACTGATCGCGGTAATGGAAACCTATCAAACGGAAGATGGTGGCGTTGGCATCCCTGAGGTGCTGCTGCCCTATATGGGCGGCACGACGTTTATCACCGCCGATGGGCAAGAGGTTACCTGATGCGCATTCTTGTCACCAATGATGATGGTATTCATGCCAAAGGCCTTGGCCACCTTGTTCGGGTCGCCGAGCAAATCGGTGATGAGGTCTGGACCGTTGCGCCCGAAACCGATCAATCCGGCGTTGCCCACTCCATGTCGCTCAATGATCCGTTGCGCCTGCGCAAAGTGGGTGAGCGTGCTTTTGCAGTGCGGGGCACACCGACTGACTGCGTGCTGATGGCTGTGCGCCACGTGATGCCTGAGCCGCCTGACCTGGTTCTGTCTGGCTTTAACAAAGGCCAGAACCTCGCCGAGGACATCACCTATTCGGGGACCGTTGCCGCAGCCATTGAGGGCACCATCCTCGGTGTGCGCAGCATCGCTCTGTCACAGGCCTATTCGTTCGCGCCTGATACAGAGCCTCCCTATGAGACTGGCGAAGCGCTCGCGCCCAATATTCTGCGCAAGCTTCTTGATCTTGGTCTGCCGCGTGAAACGCTGCTCAACATCAACTTCCCAAATCGTGCGCCGGGTGCGGTTGAAGGTGTGCGGGTAACAGGGCAGGGGCGCCGCAACATCGACTTTCTTGCCATTGATAAGCGCATGGATGGTCGCGGTAACGCCTATTACTGGCTTGCTTACAATGGACAGAACCCAAAACCTGATAGCGGCACCGACTTAGAAAGCGTGCGCGCTGGCTATGTCTCGGTGACGCCACTGTCAGTGGATATGACCGACCATACTAGCCGCGATGCGGTGGCGCGCGCACTGGAGCTGGGAACGGATGGGCTGGATGCGCCCGACAGCCAATAGCCTCTGGACGAACCTATGAGCAGCGATGATGCGCTGCGCCGCGCAAGCCTGGTGCTGGGGCTGCGATCCATGGGAATCACAGATCATCGGTTGGTCAGTGCCTTTGAAGCGACACGCCGAGAGGTCTTTGCTCCTGAACCCTATGC